GGTGGCAGGCATCCCTCTCATCTCCACTAGACAGTTGTTGGGGGAGGAAATCCAGCTCTGGCCTGACCTCCCAGCCCTACTCTAGCTCCCACCATCCATCACGCAACAAGGGCCTTCTTGGTTGGGTACTAGCCCAAAAGCTCAGGCCTTTGCAAAACCTGAGCAAGTCACAACTTTCTTAAACCAACTTCCTTGTATATAAACAGGGAATTCAGATGCTCTAGCTACTGTCTTTTTCCCTGCCCTACCACATCTCTCTCCAGAATCTCACTCTGTCACCGAGGCTGGAGTGTGGTGGTGAGATCTCAGCTCACTGCGACCTCCAACTCCTGGGTTCAAGCAATTCTCCTGTCTCAGCCTCCCGAGTAGTTGGGACTACAGGCACACACCACCATGCCCAGTTAATTTTTGCATTTTTAATAGACAAGGTTTCACCATGTTGGTCAGGCTGGTCTTGAACTCCTGACCTAAAGTGATCCACCTGCCTCAGCCTCCCAAAGTGCTGGGATTACAGGTGTGAGCCACTGTACCCAGCCCATATCTCTTAATTTCTCATTAATCTCCATTCAGTCAGGGAAAGACAGCAAGTGTGCTGTCTAATCACATGCTCAACCTTGTCTTCTTTTTTGGAAGCACTCTCCATCTATACATATACTTCTCTTGGAAGACCCTCTTGCCTGGTTTGAACAACAAAGCCGCATTCTACCCCACCCTCCTCCACTAACATGGAAGTAATCACTTCAAATACTACCCTCCTTATGTGATCCTCTTTATAGACCAGGGAAGGGCTGAGCTAATGTTGGTGGTAGCAGGGACAGTACTGTGACCCTTTGGCCCTGGCAGGAGGTATCTGATCCCACCTCTTAGAGATTCTCATTATACCACAGGTCACTTAAGAGCTCTTCATTCTCAGCTTTGGGCCCTAATGGCCAATTCTCGGGCAACAGAAACAAAAATCTACTCAACATTCAGTTAAGACTAAAGTAATTTTAATTCTTTTGTAAGCCTATTTCAAATGCTGCCTTAACCAGAAGTGTTTCCTAGTTTCCTAACCAAAGCAACCTCTCCCTGACCCTGTCACAGCACTTTTCCAATGATGCTTTATCACCTGGGTTATGCATGCAACTAGCACTGTGAAACACTTTGAAATTTGAAAATTTATTATAAAATGTTTGTTATAGAAGAACTAGTAGGGAAAAGTATACCGAAAAAAATTACTCAGCCAGGTACAGTGGCTCATGCCTTTAATCCCAGCACTTTGGGAGGCCAAAGTAGGTGGATCACTTGAGATCAGGAGTTCAAGACCAGCCTGGCCAATGTGGTGAAATGCCATCTCTACTAAAAATACAAAAATCAGCTGGGTGTGGTGGTGCACACCTGTAATCCCATCTCCTCAGGAGACTGAGGCAGGAGAATCCCTTGAACCCGGGAGTTGTACATTGCAGTGAGCCGAAATCACACCACTGCACTCCAGTCTGGACAACAGAGCGAGATTCGGTCTAAAGAAAAAAAAATTACCCGTAATTTTTTTCTGTATTACCCACCTTCACTCTCACATCTGTATCATTCTAGTGTTTTTCCGTACATGTATGATTAAGGCCATTCTTTTTACACTGCTTTTTTACATTTTGCTTTTTTACATCTGTCTTACACTTTGCTTTTTTCATTTTCAGATACTGTAGTTATCTTTCTTTGCCATTAAGTACTATTCTATAAATATTATATTTAATGGTAAATGATATTCCATGATATGGCTTTCCTACCATTTACTTAACATTCTGTTGCCAAATTGTTCCTAGCTATAATGCTGTCCATAAATAATCTCAGGTTCTCATAATTCTGATTATTTTCTTCAAGTAACAAAATTACTTTTGATCAGAAGCTACAAGTTTGGGTTATTTCTTAAGGTTCTTCACAGAAAAATATATATGCTAGTTTACTTTCTCATTAATCACAAGGTTGGTATTTTTGCTGGAAAACACAGGTAAAGTGCTCTCTGCAGTAAGCCAGGCATCCTTGTTTCACCACTCAATACAGGCCCACGACCCTGAACTGAATCGCAGGTAGAAAGCAGAGAGAGCTGACCACACAAGAGAGGGGTTAGGGATATGTGAAGGGTTCAAGGACATCCGCTACCTTTGACAGGAACCTTTCCTATAATTCCATGAGTTCCCTTAAATATGCAGTATTGTCTTAACATCTGAGCGCCATAAGAAACCTGTGAGGCAGGTTGAGCAGGTACCATTCTGTCCTACAGCTGAGCAATCTGACCTCTATCTCACTGCCCAGGGTCAAACTTAGAACCCAGGTTTCCCAGTTTCCTCAAGATCTTCCTCCTGTTCTTCTTAGCAGGTTCTAAGAGGCTGTGAAGGATCTGAAGAGCCTAGAAGTCTACACCTGGTAGTTTGGCTACTGTCCCTGGGCAGAGTATACGGTAACAACACCCTCACCAGACCCTTCCGTTTTACCAGAGAAGTCACTGGGCTTCCTGGACAGTTGCAAACATACACTCCTGAAAGCTGCTCTCCCATCAAATCATGGGTCATTTCCCTTAGACAGTCCAACACCTAGTATTAGCTAAAAATATTTTCCTATAAACTAGAAAAGTTTCCGGCATCTCTGAAGCAACTCAGTGAGTTAAGCCATTGCTGACTTGTTAACTGTTATGCTTTTTTTCTTGGAGGGGGCGGGGGTGGCGGCAAGTCACCCAGGCTGTAGTATAGTGACACGACCACTTTCACTGCAGCCTCGACCTCCCAGGCTCAAGTGATCATCCCACCCCACCCTCCAAGTAGCTGTGACTAGGTGCACACCATCACATCTGGTCAATTTTTCTATTTTTTTGTAGATGGGGTTTCAACATGTTGCCCAGGCTGGTCTCGAACTCCTGGCTTCAAGTGGCCCAACTGCTCCAGCCTTAATTACAGGGGTTAAGTCACCACATCTGGCCTGTCATTCTTACTGGGACACAATACATGCACTTTTCTCAAAGGAGAAAAACAGAGCATTTATTAGAATTAAGAGATGACTCCCTGAATTTTTTTTTTTTTTTTTTTTAAAGACAGAGTCTCATTTCGTCGCCAGGCACCAGGCTGGAGTGCAGTGGTGCAATCTCGGCTCACTGCAGCCTCTGCCTCCTGGGTTCAAGCAATTCTCCTGCCTCAGCCTCCCGAGTAGCTGAGACTACAGGCGCACGCCACCACGCCCAGCTAATTTTTATGTGTGTGTGTTTTTAGTAGTGATGGGGTTTCACCATGTTGGCCAGGATGGTCTCCATCTCTTGACCTCGTGATCTGCCCGCCTCAGCCTCCCAAAGTGCTGGGATTACACACGTGAGCCACCGCGCCCAGCAACTCCCTGAATTTTTAACTCAGTGTAACTTAAAAGAGAATTGGACTAGCTCATGACTTACATTTTTCTTTTGTAGAAGTCAGAAGAGACAAAAACTACCCACAACCCCAAGTATACCCTTCTCTCATTTGCTTTCCTGTACAACAGAAACAAATGCCACAAGTTAGTTTCTCCCTTAATATGCCTCTCCCTCAAACATTAAGATATTTAATGCTCACATACTGCTGCATTGTTGTGGGAATTATTTCCAAGCCCAAGCTAAAAAATAAATGAAAGAATTTACAACTACAAACAGTAGTTGTCCTTTGGTGTATGTAGAGAATTGGTTCCAGGACCCTTAGAGTATACCAAAATCCACATATACTCAAGTCTTGCAGTTGGTCCTGAGGAACCCACTTATACCAGAAAAGTCAGCCCTCCATGTATGTAGGTTTCACATCCCTTGAATACTGTATTTTCCATCTTTGAAAAACATGTGCATAAACGTGGACCTGCACAGTTCAAAATAATGTTGTTCAAGGGTCGACTAATTATCAGTCTTTGTTTTGAGAATTGCCATTGTTGCTAATTTTTTTCAAGGTCCATTTTTAAATATTAAAAATTATATTCTTTCATCTAAAATAACTCAAAAAGGCCAGGCACAGCAGCTCACACCTGTAATCCCAGCACTTTGGGAGGCCATGGTAGGTGGATCACCTGAGGTTAGGAGTTTGAGACTAGCCTGGCCAACATGGTGAAACTTTGTCTCTACTAAAAACAACAAATTAGCCAGGCGTGGTGGTGGGCACCTGTAATTCCAGCTACTTGTGAGGCTGAGGCAGGAGAATTGCTTGAACCCAGGAGGTGGAGGTTGCAGCAAGCCAAGATTGCGCCACTGCACTGCAGCCTGGGTGACAAGCAAGACTCTGTCTCAAAAAAAAATAAAAAATAAAATAAAAAAGAAAGAAAGAAAATATAAAATAAATAAAATTACTCAAACAAAAAAACTTCAACATTCTTATAATGCGTTGCAACTCCCACAAAAGATTATTAAACACCGCTAGGACATCTGCACCTCCTTGGAAAGAGTCAACTTCAGGAGATGCTGCCCTCTTAACTCCACTATTACTTGGAGTATCCAATAGATCATGAAAACTAAATGTGTGCTGACTCAGGTTTAAGAGCTGGTAAACAGTCCAGAGCTATACTGTCCAATGCAGTAGCTACTAAACACCTGAAATGTCCATGATGAGATATGCCTGTAAAACAAAAAAATCTCATTAATAGTTTTTTAATTAAATGTTGCCATACTATTGCATATTGGACTAAATAAAATATTAATTTCATCTATATTTTAATTTTAATATGGCTACCAGAAAATCTATGACATATGTGATTAACATTATATCTCTTTATATAAATACTCTTGCAACCTGTGGCCTGTTCTTTTTCCCCCCAATCTTCCTATGTATCATAAAGTAGATTTACACATCCTAACCAAAGGCAGTCTTCACCCAGACAGGCATTCAATCCATAAATTAAAAACCCAAGTGTTGCCATCAACTCAACATCATTCTTCACAAGCTTTCCAAGGAAGACCTCTTACATCACTACCTAGAAGCCGATATGTACAGATCCCTAGCATATTCAAGTTTTCAAATCTAAATCACCTGGCAAATGATCATGAATTCCTCGGTTTACAGGTGTGGTGCAGACTCTACTGAAATCCAGAGAATTATCCAACATGGCATTTATCCTTCGAAAGATATTGGCATTGCTACATGTGGAGAGAGCAGGTGCTTCCTGGTTGTCCCAGCAATCTTTTATCCTTCCTGCTTCTTCTTCCTAGACATAGGGAAAAAAAGATATTTAGGTTTTCTATACTCCTTTATGACACTTTGTACCCCCTTCTCTCCACACTATGAGTTAGATAAAGTAGGAAGGACTTAAGTATCTTGTTTATACATTAAAATAATAGTGATTACTATGAGCTAAGTACTCAGAACTGTAAGAAAAAAATAACCATAGTATTCTTGGAAAAAATTCCAACAAGGATACTATTAAGGAAGCAAATCAAGCACCAGGATTTAGGGCAAGAAGAGGTAGACTAACTTATACTAGTTTTCTACAAATATAGTCAGGTTTATGATTAGGACTGCCTTTATCTAAAAAGCTGCTAGCATCTGGGCCTTAAGGAAAAAGATAAACACCAGCTGCCAGCCTTTCAGCTATACAAGAAGAAGATCTGGACAACAAGAACCCTTTTTCTGGATTGGTTCCATTGATGTCTTGTCCCTGAAGTCAGGAAGTACCTTGCCAGGAAGGGACTTGCTTATATAGTAAAACACTTAATGAGTGTTTATGATGAGCAAGGTACTCAGAAGTTCTTTTAATATTGAACAATGCCCCAGGCCACACAGAATGCTATGAATTTAACAATTTAACAAAGAGGTATACATGCCCCAAAGTACAACACCTGCAAGTCGGCCTCCAGATTAAGGGGTTGTAAGGAACTTTAAGGTTCATTACACATGCTACTCTATGGAAAGGATTATTAATGCTGTGGAAGAGAACCCCAATAGAGAGAACATCATTAAAGTCTGGAAAGATTACACCATTGACAATGCCATCATTGTTGCAGAAAAATCCCTGAAAGCCATCATGCCCCAAATCATAAAATCCTGCTAGAGAAAACCGTTTCCAGATGTTATACATGACTTCACAGGATTTACCACAGAGCCAATACAGGAAATCATGAAAGAGACTATAGATATGACAAAAAAGACTGAGAGTGAAGGTTTACATGGACCTTGGAGAAAACCGAGAGTTAACAGGCACCATACCAAAGGAATTAACACAGACAATTTGATAGAGATGAGTGCTCCAAACCAGTGCCAGACAAGGAAGATGATGTTGAAGTACCAATGTCAGAAAACAAATTGACATTTGATGATCTGGCAGAAGGGTTCCAATTATTCAAGACTGCTTTTGGCTTCTTTTACAATATGTACCCTTCTATTATACAGGCACTGAAACTAAAGCCAATGGTGGAAGAAGGATTGGTACAGTATAGAAACATTTTTACAGAAATGAAAAAGCAAAAAGTGACACAGAAATTATGAATTATTTCTGTAAAGTTACACTGACTGTGCCTGCTTCTCCTTCCATCCCCTCCACGTCCTTCCACCTCTGCCACCCCTGAGATAGCAAATAGTTATACATAACTAGATACACAGCAAGACCAATCAATCCCTCCTCTTCCTCAGCCTGCTCAACGTAAAGACGGCAAATGTGAAGATCTTTATGATGATTCGCTTCCACTTAATGAACAGTAAATATATTTTCTCTTTATGATTTTCCTAGCAACATTTTCTTTTCTCTAGCTTACTTCATTTTAAGAATACAGTATATAATACATGTAACATACAAAATATGTGATCAGCTGTTTATGTTATTGGCAAGGCTTCTGGTCAACAGTAAGCTATTAAGTTTTAGGGGAGTCAAAGCTATACACAGATTTTTGACTGTGGGGGTTGGTGCTCCTAACTCCCGCATTGTCCAAGAGTCAACTGAATTAATACTCAATGAATTGTACATTAAAGGTGAACTTTAGGGTATGTAAATTTTATTTATGTCAATACAGCTGTTTAAAATTTTTTTTCTGCTGTTTACTGGCTGTGTGATGTCGTAGTTACTTAACCTCCATGCCTCAGTTTTCCCATTTATGAAATGGAAAAAAACTTTTTGATGACATATGTAAAGCATTTTGCATGGCATACAGTAGCTGCTATTTTTGTATCTGAAAACATTAATTATTAAATACTGGTAAGTACCAAGAATGGCAAAGCACCCAAATTGATTAAGTTATAGAATTCTATGTGGTCATTGCAAGGACATACAACTTTGTTAACTGGCATGATAAGATGGATAAGCCATTAATGAATGAAAAAAGAACTCATACACGTACACACACACACACACACACACACACGTAAATGTGTGTGTATGTATATGTATATATATATGTGTGTGTGTGTGTATATATATATATATATGTGTGTGTGTGTATATATATATATATATGTGTGTGTGTGTATATATATATATATATATACACACACACACACATATATATATAAACAAAATCAGGAACTCTTACACAAAAACTATTCTTTTGGTGTTCCCTATCTTGGTAAATAATACCATCCACCCGATGCCCAAAGCAGAAATGTAGGTACCATTCTTCACTCTAGTCTCCCTCACTCTCCACATTCAATGCCCAGCTAAGCAATGAAATAATGGTTGACAGAGTTTTGTTTGTTTTTCCTTAAGACAGAGTCCCACTGTCACCAGGCTGAAGTGCAGTGGCTCGATCTTGGCTTACTGCAACCTCTGCCTCCCAGGTTCAAGCAATTCTCCTGCCTCAGCTTCCCAAGTAGCTGGGACTATAAGCACCCACCACCCCGCCCGGCTAATTTTTCTATTTTTAGTAGAGACAAGGTTTCATCATGTTGGCCAGGATAGTCTCGATCTCTTGACTTCGTGACCCACCCACCTCGGCCTCCCAACGTGCTGGGATTGCAGGCGTAAGCCACCAGTGCTTGGCCAACAGATTGAGTCTTTTAAGAGGAGCCTGCCTCATCAGTTCTATCATCCTCAATTATCTTGGGGAAAACAAACAAAAACACACCAAGTAAAAAAACTGGCACTTAATATCTCATAAGCTGTTCACATCAAAACAAAACAAGAACAGGCCTGATGTCGCTTTGTTTAGCCAACCAAAATCCAAGTAAGCATGAGCATGACCAGGAGAATTTACAGTTTTATCAACTCTGCAAGATGACCTTAAAGGGACCAACTTGAGCCTCATAACAGCCTCAAGTTCTTCAAAAGACTGGTATCCTTTGCAAACTGTTAAGAAGACCAAAATACACAATCCTACAAGGTTGTTTTCCCAAGCTCTCTAGAGTGGCTCCATTGAGAATTGTTAAATCCAGTGGCACACAAGGCCCTTTTCACAACCGTAGATTTCTAAGATGATTCTCAGCCTCACAAAAGCAACTTCATAAAGGCTAAGATGCGAATATTTACAATTTGCAGAGAAGAGGTCTCACTGTGTTGCCCAGGCTGGACTTCAAAGTTCTAGGCTCAAGTGCTCCTCTCACCTCAGCCTCCCAAGTAGCTGAGACTATAGGCATGTGCCATTGCCTGGCACAGTCTACATATCTTAAGGCTACACACTTCATTCTTCACTGCCTAATAAACATTAGCCAACTTACTGCTCTCTACAGTGAGCACCCCAAGGAGCAACAGATTAGACATGGACTAAATCAAAATTAAGTTTCGAAGTTTGGAAAAAGAACTTTTGGGAGGCTAGGATGGGTGGATTGCTTGAGGCCAGGAATTCAAGACCAGCCTGGGAAACATGACAAAACCCTGTTTCTACAAAAAATACAAAACATTAACTAGGTGTGGTTGCACATGCCTGTAGTCCCAGCTATTCATGAAGCTGAGGTGGGAAGAATGCTTGAACCCAGGAGGCAAAGGTTGCAGTGAGCAGAGACTGTGCCACCACATGCCAGCCTGGGTGACACAGCAAGACCCTGTCTCAAAAAAGAAAAGAAAAAGAACTAAGACCTGATCCTGTAAACATCCATAACACAAACTACGGTGTGCTGTAAACATACATTGTCCTCTAAGCCAAGATGGCTCAGAGAGACAATATGCCTGGAAATGGGGATAAAGAGGAAGTTTAGAAGAACACAGAGAGCAAAGAGGCATTATCAAAAGTGGTCCAGTGTGGTACAGCATTAGGTATAGGAGGGGAGAGAAGATTGGAAAAGACTCATATGCCCAATTAAGGAGTCAACATGGTCTTTTCAATACACAAAAATTAATCTCATTTTTATTTATTTACTGTAACAATAGTACCATATATATGGGTTCCAGATCCTGGCCACATCTAAAGGCAAGTAAATAAAAAAGAGAGTCAAGGGAAGATCCAAGATGGCCAACTAGGAGCAGCTCAGGATTGCAGCTCCAAGTGAAAGCGCCGCATTTCCAGATGGATTTTTACTACCCACAGACCAGGAGATTCCCAGGTGGAGGAGCCCCACGGGTTGCCAGCACAGTTCCTTTGGCCGGCGCGGCGGTTCTCCGTACAAAATACAGTGGGGTCCGGGTGCCCTTTTAGCTGGCAATTAGAGCCCCGGGAAGGCAGAGTCGCCCATTCATCTGATTAAAAAGGGGACTGAAACAGGGAGCCAGGCCAGGAGATTCCCGGGCAAAAAAAGCCCCACAAATCTCAGCAGCGCAGCGAGTCGCCACACAGGAAATCACACAGATCCCGGCGCCTTTTCAACAGATGACTCAAACACCTGGGAGAGAGTCCACCATTCAACTAAAAAAAAAAGGCTGTGAGGCAGGGAGCTAGGTGATCAGGCTCAGCTGGTCCCACACCCACAAAAAACAAAACAAACAAACAAAAAAAACCCAGCAATTGGAAATGCTCTGGGTTGAGAGTTTCACAGCAACCACAGCTGAACCCGGGACGGTCAAGTTCTGTGGGGGAGGGACATCCGCCATTATCGAGGCACTCCACCACTATGGAGGTAGTCGGCCATTGCTGAGGCAGCCAGCCATTGCTGAGGCAACCTGCCGTTACAGAGAGAGCCTGCCATTACAGAGGTGGGCCACCATTGCCGAGGCAGTTCTAACTACACCCATATAAACAAGACTGCAGGGAAGTTCACATGGCAGCTGGGCAGAGCCCACAGTAGCTCAGCAAAGCCTCTGCAGGCAGTGACTAGCCTGCCTCCTTGCTGGGCAGGGCAGCCCTGAAAAAA